CAACCTGGTGGCAAGTTGATTACAATGGACTACTTACATCATGGAAAGGGCATCTTTATGTCCTTACTGGAATAGACACTCTGGATATGGATTTTCCTTCCCTGCACACAATGCTTCTGCCAAAACTACCATCCATGGATTTAAGAATGCCTTATCCACCATTGTGTTATCCCACACTGCATTGCCTCAGAACAAGGGACTCACTTCACAGCAAATGAAGTGCAGCAGTGGGCCCATGCTCATGGAATTCACTGCTCCTACCATGTTGCCCATCATTCTGAAGCAGCCGTCTTGATAAAACAGTGGAACAGCCTACTAAAGACACAATTACAGCACCTGCTAGGTGGCAATACTTTGCAGGGTTGGGGCAATGTCCTCCAGGAGGAATGCTCTAAACCAGCATCCAATATATGGTGCTGTTTCTCCTATATTCAGGATTCATGGGTCCAGGGATCAAGGGGTGGAAATGCGAGTGGCACCACTCACTATTACCCCTAGTGATTCACTCACCAGATTTTTACTTCCTGTTCCTGCAACCCTATGCTCTGCAAGACTAGAGGTCTTAGTTCCAAAGGGAGGAATGCTTTCACCTAGAGACACATCATTGATTCCATTGAACTGGAAGCTAAGAAAGCCATCTGGTTACTTTGGACTCCTTAAGCCTCTGGATCAACAGGCAAAGAAGGGAATTACCATACTGGCTAGTGTGATTGATCTTGATTACCAAAAGGAAATTGAATTGATATTACATAATGGAGGTAAAGAAGAGTATGTCTGGAATGCAGGAGATTCCTTAGGGAATCTCCTAGTACTACCATGCCCCGTGATTAAAGTCAATGGAAAACTATAGCAACCCAATTCCAGCATGAAAACTAATGGCCCAGACCCATCAGGAATGAAGATTTGGATCACCACACCAGGCAAATAACCAAGACCAGCTGAGGTGCTTGCTGAGATCAAAGGGAATATGGAAGGGGTGGTGAAATAAGGTAGTTCTAAATACCAGTTGCAGAAACAAGGACTGTAATTGTTATGAGTATTTCTGCTTTGTATGTGTGCATTAAATATTTTTGTTTCCTTCACTTATAAAATACAAGATGTAAACAGGGCTACTGCATTTTGGGTTGTATGTGTGTTTGTTGTATCATGTTAGGCTAAAGTATGACTTTATAATTATCTTTATTCAGAGATTTTGTATGGTTTGAGGAGATGTGTACAGGTGCCAAGTTGACAAGTGATGGACTGTGATGATTAAGACTATGTGTCAAGTTGGCTGGGCCATGATTCTCAGTGTCTCAGTGTTTTGGTAGTCATATAATGTTGTGATCACTTCTCTGTTGAGATTCGATATGTGATCACCCCCATGATGGGATCTGCTGTGAGTAGCCAATCAGTTGAAAGGGAGTTGCCTTGGGCATGTGGCCTGCATCCAAAAATAAGTGGAAATTCTGGCTTTCGCCTCCTCTGGATCCTGCAGCTGGCTCTTGTTCATCTGACAAGTGGTGGACTGTGATAGTTAAGATTGTGTGTCAACTTGGCTGTGCCATGATTCTCAGTGTTTTGGCAGCTGTATAATGTTGTGATCTCTTCCCTGTTGAGATTCGATATGTGATTACCCCCATAATGTGATCTACTGTGAGTAGCCAATCATCTGAATGTAAGCGGACATTCTTGCTTTTGCCTGCTCTGGGTCCTGCAGCTGACTCATGTTAGTCTGACCTCCTGTTCTTGGGACTTGAGCTACAAGCTTACCTGCAGTTTTGCCTGCCTATCTTAGAATTCATTGATTTTCACAGCCTGTAAGCAAGAGCCCTGCTCTCTGACCTGACAATCTTGGGTTCGCCAGCTCTAGAAGCCTCTATCCTGATCCGTTGACTTGGGACATTCCAGCCTCTACAACCATGTGAGCCAGTTCCTTGATATAAATCTCTCTCTAAATATATATTTATATGCTTTACTGGTTTTGCTTCTCTAGAGAATCCAGCCTAAAATGGTAAAAGTTACAGTCTTGAAAACCCTATGGGGCAATTCTACTCTGTTCTAGAGGGTCGCTATGAGTTGGAATCAACTCGATGACACACAACAACAACAACAGCATTAAGTATTCTTCCATAATATGATTTTTATATTTACATAGTCTTTCATGGAAATAATGTAAATTTTTTAACCAACGTCATAGTATTCGACACTTGGGTTATTTCCAATGTTTTACTGTTACAAACACTGCAGCATAAACATCCTTATACACCTTAGTGCGCTTCCATGATCATTTAGCTTAAAATAACTTCTGAGTAATGGAAATGCTAACTCAGAAATGTGTCTTTAAAGGTTTCATGGGAATTGCCAAGCTGTCCTTCAGAGTAGTTTTGGTTGTCGATAACCAAGGTGTGCCACACACTTCCTATTCCAACCCTCATCCTGTGCTCCTGTTCCACCCTTCTGATGTTCTTCTGGGGGAATCCAGGCCCCTGAGTCAGTCTGGAGAACAGCCCATGGCAGACGAGGAGCTATTATGTCCTCTTACATGCTCCTGAACCTCTTTGAGTTGCCTCCACAGCAATGGGCCAGGGCAGAGCTCAGGATGGAGGTAGCTCTGGAAGAACATATGTGCCATTGACCCTTTCCTTGTGAGCATAAACTCACCTCCTTTCCACTCCCCTCACAGGTTTTGTCTCCTCTGGCCAAGAACCTCTTCCACCAGGCCATTTCTGAGAGTGGCGTGGCCTTCAATTCTGTTCTGGTCAGGAATGAAAGCAGGTCTGCAGCTGAGGTAGGTCTCACTTTGGAAATCTGCTTGCACCCTTGCTCTGCTCTCCTGGAATCTCAGGGGTCTTTCTTGCCAAGGATCCAACTGACATCCTCAAAGAATTGTGGAAGTGAGAGTGCTTACACAGCACAATGAGACACCTTGCTCAAGGTCTTAGTTTGCTAGTGCTGCTATAACAAAAAAATGCCACAAGTGAGTGGCTTTAAAGAACAGGGATTTATTGTCTCACAGTTTTGGAGGCCAGGAGTCCAAAATCAGGGCTCTGGCAGAGATAAGTTTTCTCTGTCAACTCTAAGGGAAGATCTTTGTCTCTTTTTGCTTCGGTAGTTTTTGGCAATTCACGGCATTCCTGGGCTTCAAGATGCATCTGTCTCTGTTTGTCGCGCTCTCTCTGTCCACTATTTATCCCTGTGCCTTTTAACTTATTGAACAAATCCATACTGAGCACTGACTATGTACCAGGCACAGTACTAGGCTCTGGGGAGCCAGTGCACACTCAACATGACCCCACCATCATGGAGTCTGCCTGCTATCAATCTGCTTCTTCTCCTCTGGTTACATTTTGCTTCCAGTTCACATGGCCACCCTACCTGCTCCTGAGTTTAAGAACTCCCTTTTGATTCCAGAAAGTAGAAAGACTTTCTCCTGTTATAGAACTTTTAGCAATGTCATGTTAGAAGTGCCCAGCCCCAATTCCAGATCACTTAGGAAAGAGGTTCTCTGTCCCAGCTTTGCTTGGATGCCTACCCTAGGCCCCAATCAATGTAGTTAGGAGGATGGGCAACTTATATGACCGTGGCTTTCAGGAGCCACTACAGGGACCCTGTGGCCCAGAAGAAGGAACCATTCTCAGAAAAGTTGGGAACAAAGGTGTGCTGGACAGATCAGCCCAAATCCAAGACAGGCTGATACGAGCCTCTCCTTCAGCAGTGTGTTCTTTTTACTTTTTTTATTTTAAAAGAGGGAAAGAGGTTCTGGGCTTGTGTCAATAACTCTCCAAGCATTAATTTGGGCCCCTCAGTGGCTTGTCTTAGAATCTCGCCCATTGTTTATTTTTTTATGATCGATGTGCTAAGAATGATTTTTATATATTTATGTAATTTAAAAAATCAAAAGAAGAACAATATTTCACAACCTGTGAAAATTATATTAAATTCAAATTTCAGTGTCCATAAGTAAAGTTTTATTGGAACATAACCACAGCCATTCATTTGCATATTATCTTGTTTAACACTGAAGCAACATCTGCTATTCATTGGGGTAGATGCCAGATTATTTTCCTTTAGCTCTCATAGTTAAACGACATTCTGTACTTTCTGAAGTGCCTTTGTGTGAGTCATCTTATCTGGACCTCCCGCAATTTTGCACATGTTTTAGTGTGTGTCGGTGGCCTTCTAAACCCTTTCATGTATTAACTCGTCTTATAAAAAAGGCCAGTCATTATCCCCATCTATAGGTGTAGAAGCTGAGGAGCCTTGGTGCCACAATGGTTAAGTGCTTGGCTGCTAACCAAAAGGTCGGTGCTTTGAACCTACCAGCCACTCTGTCGAGAAAGACCTGACAATATGCTCCTATGAAGATTACAGCCTAGGAAATCCTATGGGGCAGCTCTACTCTGTCATGTAAGATCGCTGTGAGTCAGAATCAGCTCGATAGCACACAACAACACCACCATGGGTGGAGAAACTGAGAAACAGAGAAGTTGAGTGACTTGCCCAAGGTCAAATGGCTAGTAAGTGAAGGAGCTGAAATTTGAATTCAGGCAATGTTACTGAGAGTCAATACTCTTAACCACCACTCCACATTGCCACTCTTCAGACATTCAGCTTTCACATCATTATGCTCTTTTTAACACAGATAAGTTAACAGGCAAAAACAGTTAAGTACTCAGAAGAAAGGCCTGGGGATCTACTTCTGAAAGATCACAGTCATTGAAAACCCTATGGAGCACGGTTCTCCTCTGAAACACATGGAATTACTATGAGTCGTAATTGACTTGATGACAAATGGTTCTGGTTAAGGTAACAGAGACAGATAGAATGTGTAATTGGATGAAAGCAGAATTTATATTAATAATAGAGGCAAGACTAGGACCCAGGACCCACGCCTTCTGGTCTATTTTCTACTATTCTATGCTGCCTTCAGAAATAGGGTGAGGGTAGAACACTCTGTTATATTGATTGAGGGAAGGGACATCACTCTTGAATTCTGCTGTAACCTGTGATCTCTATAGAAAATTGCTATCTTGGCTGGGTGTAAAACCACCACCTCTGCTGTCATGGTTCACTGCCTGCGCCAGAAGACAGAAGAGGAACTCTTGGAGACGTCGCTCAAGATGGTAGGTGCTTTCATTCTCGTGGCCACATAAGTCCCACCCTGTAAACCTGGTCCCAGGCTTCATCATTTCACCTGCTCCCTTTACCTGAAAAATCTACCTGGACAGTTTCTTTTCTCTCAGGAGCAGTGTTAACCTCTGGATCTCAGTAAGCAATTTCTTCTTTCCTTTTTTTATTGTGAAATATTTCAAATGTCAGAAAAGTAAAAATAATAATAACATAATGAACAATTCTGTGATAACCCCCCAATTCTATCAAAGCTTATTATTTTGCTACTCTTGATTTCAGATATATTTTAAAGAAATTAAACATTAAAGATTTAACTGAAAATCCCTGGGTATCCTATTCTGGTTCCATTCTCCCAGTTCCTTCCCAGAGGTAACCACCATCCTGAATTTTGAGGATGAGAGTATTAAGAACAAAGATGGTCACAATTTATCTTGGCTAATTTAGAAACTACCTAAATTATAACTCAATAGTAGCCCTATTTTCTAGATTTCCTGAGACCCTGCCTCAACTGTGATTCTAGGGTAGTCATCCATCCACTCATCCATCTATCCATTCATCATCTTATTATCCATCTATTCAACCATGTATTCAATATTCTTTCACCTATCTAATATCAGTCAATCCACTAATCCATCAATAACCTTACTTCCATCTATTATCACCCATCCAGCACCCATTCTTCATCCAGCCACCATATATTTTCACTTCAAAAACCAATGATTCATCTGTCATCTGTCTGCCAGTTACCATCCATCTATCCAGTTATTTATTCAATACATCCATACTCCATGTATTGACCAACTCCTTCCATCCATTCGTGCATCCATACTTCCATCTATCCATCCACGTTAACCATATGGGGGATGTCAGATGAGATGATGCAGACATGACTATGAGTATGTTTCCTTGCTCACAAGGAACTATTCAAGGAAAAACACACCCATCGCTAAGTGTGGTGGGAGTACAGAGGATGGAAACATTCATTTTAACCAGCAGGGATGCTTCACACAGAAGGTGACATTTGAGGATTGATGGATGGCTATGGTGTCTGTCATCACAGAGAAGCTACAGCAGGGCAGGCACCTCAGAGAGTACAGGACCTAGAGCCAAGCTATTCCCTTGCTGGGGAAGGGTGTGAATGTGAGCCCCAAAGTAGCCTGAGCCCTTGGACTTTGTGTCTGGACCCTGACCTCCCAAGGATACTCCCACGGTTTCCCATGGACAGGCATAGAGCACTGGACTCTGCTTGTATCCCCGTGGGTTGAACCCAGTGTGATCTTTGGGCTTGGATCATGGTGTTTCAACCCCAAATAGGGTGACCAAAGTGTTCAAAGAATTAACATGCAAGTATTTTCTGATGCCTAGAAAGAGGCAAATATTTTACCAATTCTTCATGAGGCACAAGGGGATTCAGCTTATAAGGGGAGAGTTGATGACTTTGGGAAAACCAAGAGAATCTAAGAATCTAAAATCTCATCTGGAATTTTCTGAGATCATTTGGAAGTGCTTTCCATGATTATTCACTATCCCCAATACACACACACACACACACATACACACACACACACACACCTGGCTGCTGGGGATACAACTCAGAATGTAGAGAACCTTTCTGTCCACTTCTTGCATACTGGTCAGGCATATTGGCTGCAGTGTAATGTAACAATCAGTGAAATTCTGGCGAACACACCAAAGAGAGCCACAGGGTAGGGTGAGTTTCAGTGAGCTTGTATGAGTCAGGACTTTCCAGAGCAAGATGAGAAAACTCATCTCAAATTGTCTCGAGCAAAAAAAAGGGATATGTTGTAATAGAATCTTTAGGAAAATGAAAAGTCCAAGAGTAGGTAACTTCAGGCACAGCTGGATCCAGGTGTTCATATGATATTACGGAGAATCTACCTGTCTCTGGTGGCCCAGTTGTTAAGAGTTCAGCTGCCAACAAAAAAGGTTGGCAGTTTGAATCCACCTGCCGCTCCTTGGGAACTTTATGGGGCAATTCTACTCTGTCCTATAGGGTCACTATAAGTCAGAATCAACTTGATGGCAATGCGTTTGGTTTGGTTTTTTATCTATCTGTATCTCTCAGCTTCCTATGCTCAGTGTTAGCTTCACTCTCAGGCAGGTTTGTCCCTTGGGGGATTAAAGACAACAATGGCATTCTAGACTTAAATTTTTTTACCTGCTTAGAAACTATAGTAGAAAGAGATGTCCCTTTCCTAATAATTCCAACAGACGTTTTAGAGTAAACTGTAGAGCTGACATGAGCAAGTACCATTCCTGAACTAATTATGAGGTCAGGGAGACAGAGCACCCCAGATCACATATATATTTCTGGAGCAACAGGGCGAGAGTGGGAAAGACGAAAGCCCCTCAAAGAAAAATTGAGGTGCAGTCTCCAGGAGAAGGGGAGACAGATGGAGGGTAGGGCAGGTACGAACAAGAGATGTCCTCTCCAGAGCTCCAACAACTCTGGATCGGGGTCCCCAGGCCTTGTCTTTGCCTTGTTCCTGCCTTCCCCTCCCCCTGTCCTAAACCAGGGGAGGCAGAGTTCTGCTCACTTCCTCTCAGCCAAACCAGGGTGGCACTTGAAGGGACAGCCTGTTACCTCCAGTGCGCAGCTAACAAAGATCAACTTCTCTCCCAGGAAGCCTTCTCATCCACAGCCTCTGCCTTTGTCTTCACAGAAATTCTTCACTTTTGATTTACTTGGAGACCCCAGAGAGGTAAGGGCCTTCGGTTTCTTGATTAAACGTTTCAAGCCTTGGGACTTTAAACTCCAGTTAAATGCTGGATGAAAGAATCCTCCTTTTTGTGGAATCATAGTAACTCTTTGTGTTTATATTACCAAGGCCTAGAGAGGGGAAGCCACTGGCCTGGGTAACACAGTCAGGAAGGCCAGAGGCAGGACTGGAGTCCATTTGCCACACTCCAATCCAGTGCTCCCTGTCATCAGTTCTGTGCCTCACGGGCCCAGTCTAACCCTCTCTTGTTTACATTTTCTGCTCCCCTAAATGCCCCTGTGGGTGGTGGCTGGGCTAGAATCTTCCTCTATGGGGAGGCAGAGATGTTACCAGGATAATGGGTTTCTTCAAGAGGCTTCATTGAAAAGCCCAAATCTTCTCCTGGGAGACCAGGTTTGGTTGACTGTGCAAGCTGCACTCTTTACAGGGCCTCAGGGAGAGAACCCAGAATCTCAGTCCCGGGCTCACCCTCCTCCCGGCCACACCGGCTAGAAACTTCAGCAGCATCCTCCCATCTCCTTCTCCTTCGACCCCCACCTTCCAGCAGGTTACCAGCTTCCAGTGACATTGCCTCTGTAACATCTGACAATACTTTCCTCTCTGCTCCCTCCCTGGGGAGTGATTTTTGAGGATTAAACAGGATTCATTCAGTCCCTCAGTGATTATTTAATAAGCACTGCTATGTGCTAGGACCTGATTTAGAAACTGGGGCTATAGTAGCAAAACAGACCAAAAAGACAAAATTTCCTGCTCTGTTAGAACCTAACATGCTAGTTGAGGGGATTACAGTAAACAAACAAAATGTGTAGTGTGTTTGATGGTAGTTACTGTTATGGAGAAAAATAAAACAGGAAATAGGTGTAGAGCTTGCCAGTGGATGTGTTGGTGGTTTGAATTTTAAGTAGAAATGTCAGGGAAAGGCTCAATGAGAAGGTGATATTTGGGCCAAATTCTGGAGGAGGTGAGGAAGCCAGCTCTCAGGAAAACTGGAAGAAGAGTGTTTCAGGCACAGGGAATGGCTTCTGCAAAGGTCCTGAGGCAGGAGGCCAAAGTAACTGGAGTGGATCAAGTCAGGGGAGAGAATAGGCTTGAGGCTAAAAAGGTAATGGGAGGTGGGGACTTGGAGTCAGTTCCTCAGGGATGGCCTGAATGGATCAATAGTGAAAAGTGACCACCAGCTGCCTGCCCCCAGGTGAGCCGATGTGGCTTCTCCAACCAGTGAGGAAAGCTTGCATTAAAAGTCACGAATGAAGCCCTTTGCAGCTCTCCCCCAGGGTGGCCAGCTAGGAAAGGCAGGCAAATGTGGTA